GGCAGTTGTCTTTATCTATAGCTAATTTTACGCGAAGAACTACTCCTTTTTTCCCACTTGCACTGTGATTATAACATGGGCGTAACTTGTTCTACAAGTCCGGCGAGTTGCTGCTGAATTTTCTTTTCACGGACGTCTGCTGACAATTACAATCCGCCACTCGGCAGAGAGTTTGGCTGGCAGTCGGATCGAAGTCCTATGTGCATACGTGTCAGCCAAGGCATCTGGTTCATCTTCGTTACATAACGCGTCGCCACATTGGCCTTAATCCCGACCGGGTCTTGAACAAAGTGTGAAACCGCGATTGTGTACGCGCGCGAGAAGCATACTACTGCTGCCCGGAAGGCCGGAATGTCAATGGCTGACCCGATTTCCTTGAAATAACAAGCTCGCCTCCGAGAGATTTGCGCGCGGACGTGATCGACCGGACGATTCATCTTTCGATCGAGGCAAGCAAACAAGTGAAATATCTGCCTGTGTGTGTGTGTGTGTGTCAGACGGTTAGACCGTGGCTGGATAATTAAACACGCGTTTTAAAAGTATGAACATGCAAAAGTTTTGTCTCTTTCGATCGGGAGATATATTTATTATTTAGAGATGAGTCAGGAGAAAGCAACGCTTGAAAAGAAAGAGGATTAACGAAAAATACGACGGAGAAAGAAATGAAAGCAGAAAACACGTTTATTCTTCTTCTTTTTTTTTAATTGCAATGCAAGTAACATCGAGACGATCAACTCGAGCCGAATTTAAACGCGTCTAGAAACGCTGAAACCGTCCGGCCGATCGATATTAATCTGGGTTAATCAAGAAGGAGTAGTAATTGGAGGCGAAATACAGTTCTCGTTAGAGCTAGATCAGAATCAGCAAGATTTTACACCGCATACCGATCGCGTATGCCTCGCAAATAAGCGTAAAACGGTAAAACCCATTCAATTCCGTTTAATTGCAAGAAGGAGCGTGCTGTGCCTAAATCACACGAAAACCCGTATTAACCAGTCTTTATCCTGATTGCACCTTATACTGCAGGCTATAAAATCGATCAGGGAAAGACCTGTTGCGGCGTGCGTTCAGGAAGTTCCAACCTCGAGCTGGTTTCCAAAAGAACCAGCGAAAACAACCGCCAAACGTACTCGTATAGAAACATTACGCAAAGGTCGATGGGTCGTGAGAATGCCTGAATTTAATCGTCCGGTCCCTCTCGAGTATCGAGTGCATCTCTCTCTCCTCTGGAAATTCTCGAGATATCGATTTATACCGGCAGCCATTGGATGATCATTGAATGTTCCTCTCTCAGGCTTCGTTTCTGTTTGGTAAGTCTACTGTTTTATATTCGACTGTGATTAGATCACGGATGTGTCGTTCGTCTTTTTTTAATGGATAGAATTGAAAAGAAAAAGAAAGAAGAATGGATTAGAGGTATGTTTCGAGCTTGCTTCGATCGTCCTAATATTTATGTACACCGATTTCACCGTCCAACAAATTCAACAAAAAAGTATGACGCGTGCACGCAGGGATTACGCGCGCGTGTGCGGTGTATAAGAATTTCTTGTGGCTGCGTTTCGCGAGTTCTCTGCCTCCGGCTGACATAAGGAGCGCGCCCGTCCACTCAACAAAGACAGAATCTGTAGACGCAGACAGAGAGCGAGAGAAGATGAAGGA